GCAAGCTAAATATCGAGATTTTTGTTTTCGATTTCGCAAATAAATAGTCAGATAAGCCTAATATACTATACAGGGTAGCTGAGCTTGCGTATTTTTTTAGAAATCCTGCCCTATTTTTAGAAATAGTGTTACCAAAAAGGTTGCGCTGGATTTTATTTAGCTGTAACTTTTTTAATTTTTGTCCGATTTAAAAAAATGTGGTATCAAAATAAAGCCTATATCACAGGGATGTCATGAAATCTAAAAAAATTAAAAATGTGATAAAATTCGAGATGGTTCAACGTGATAAAAGTATAACTTTTCATTCGATTAGGGTCTTGGATACACCAAATACACCTAAATTAAGGGGCGGTTCCTCAATTGCGAGTAACGTCTAGGGGTTAACTAATCCGGTGCTAATTTCAACCTTGCAGGTTAACTGAGGATTGTGTTTCTCAAGCATCCACTGTAGGTGGAGTTGATAAACACTGGGTTAAGCAATAGTTGGTAGCATTATTGTTTACCAGAATGGTGATCCTAACATATTTTTGATTGGTCGATAGCAGTCACGCATGGGTCGATCGTCAAATTAGCCCATTCACAAAACTTTTTGGAGTTTGTTGTTAAGTTAATGATAAGTTCGAGTATTCTTTTTGGCGCACCGTTTTTTCATTACAATTTGTTAATTTTTGAAGAGCGTGGTTAATGCAGTGTGTGTAGTCAATAGTCATGGAGAAGAAAGATATCGCAAGAGGAAAAAACTTCCTTGAAATAGAAAAAATAATAATAATGAAGCTATAATATAAGCGAAATATAGGGTGCACGAGGTCAGACATAAACTTTTAATCCTTTGTAGAGAAATCCTAGTGATCGTATTTCTCGAGAGGATTAATCCTTTGGCGGATTATATGAGGCGTTTTTCCTACGAAATTGTAGAAATCTTCATCTTCATCAATCAATCCATATATTTCTATTTTGAAAAAAAAAATATTACCACAAAATTGACAAATCACGATCACGAATCATCAGGTTATCTCAAAGGGTAAATCCATAAATCCATAAATCGCTAAACCCGCAATATCATCAACAGTGAGCCAATTTAACCCAAGGTTACACCAAAAGTTATAGCTAACTCGCTGTGGAGAAACGTTTACCCTGGAGTTATAATCAACCCGGAAATGACTCGCTATTGATAAACCGGCCCTAATATAAGTAACGTATTTGATGGATACTTCACATTGTTCTCATGTCGAGCGTAGCTAAAGTACCTAACAACGCGATAACTTTGCATGTGCAGTATATGCCCAATACTGGATTTCCTCCATCCAGCCCAGGGGAGAACAAAAATGATACAAACAGAAAATCTCTGCTTACTTATCTTGTGTGAACCCCGAAAATATTTAGATATATTCGGAAAGTTTTAGTTCATGAATACTCACCAGTGAGAATAGAAAAATTAATATAATTTTCATGTAAATCGACTTAAGGCCCACCCCACCACCCCTAAGTTGGAGTTTTTCTCTTTGAATCGTTTCATGTAGGGCATTTTCAATATTTTGCACTAGTCACAACATTCTGTGTTAAACACAGATTTCAAATGTCCATCCAACATGTCTTTGTAATCTTACGAGTATTATTTGCTTCCTCAGATGTAAATTATTGACGATGTCTGGCCAAAAAAGGCGATATTTCACACGAATTCTGAGATTTGTCATTTTTTCAGATTTCATGACATCGCTCTGCGATGTAAGCTTTATTTTGAGACCAGATTTTCTAAAATCAGACAAAAATTGGAAAAGTTACGGGCAAATTAATTCCAGCACGACCTTTTTCGTAACACTATTACTAAGAATAGTGCAGTATTTCTAAAAGAATACGTAATGTACGTGTGCGATGTCCTTTGATTCTGTCGATTGCGAGAAAACGATCAGCAACTAAGTATTCTTTCACAAGTTCGCGCCCTTATTTTAACCCTTTCAGTTCGTGCAACCCTTATGGCGTTGGCTTCTCACTATTAGATTGTTCTATAATGTTAATGTGTTAAAATGCTATGAAAAAGAAATTGAAAAAATAACCTATTTTCTGCTGCAGAAGGAAAATAAATTTTCCATATGCCTAGCAGACGTCCGGTCGCTAAATTTTCATTTTTCGAGCTCAGCACTGACATAATTTTCAGTGGTTGAAATCCCCGAAGAGAGAAAATCGGTCAGCAAAATCTATCATTAGCTGACGGTCCATAAGTATCTTGAAAGAATGGAAATAAATAAAATTTGAATATGTACAGGGTTTTATGGTAGGTATCCAGATTTCAAGTAGAGATTAGATTAAAGTTGAATAGAATAAAGAGTTTTTAATTATACCTACCAACAAGTGCACGTCGCATTGACCTATGAAAACTTTGAATTTACTACGTTTGTGTCTAAATGTTTATTGAAAGTATTCTACCCGTTCTTTTATTTATCAACTCGCTGGCACAACAACAAGCCAACAGAAATTCTCTGATGAGGTCTAAGCTGATGACCAACAGCCAGACAACGTTGCCAACAGAACGGTGAATATAACATGTATGAACGATTTGCATGAATTACTTTACGTAGTACGTACTAATGTGTGGAGTAAAATTTTGCGTCTTTTGAATTGTGTGCAAACTAAGTGAGTACGAGTATTTTCACGATCTCCGGACATTGTTCCGAATTCCGGCCGTACTTCCCCGGACACCCTAAAAACCCAAACATGTCCGGGTGAATCCGGACGTATGGAAACCCTAGGTCTGCGCCAGTAGTATTGGTTACAAACGAAGATGGAAGTCTTAGATTTTGTGTAGACTACCGTAAGCTTAATGGCGTCACCCATAAGGACAGCTTCCCTCTCCCGAGGATAGACGATTAACAACTCTATCGGGCTGCAAATGGTTTTCCACTTTGGATCTTAAAAGTGGATACTGTCAAGTGGCAATACACAAAGATGACAAAGAGAAAACTGCCTTCAGTACCGGAAGCGGGTTATATACCAGTTAACCGTAATGCTTTCCGGATTGTGCAATGCTTCAGCTACGTTTGAGCGACTGATGCATCTTGTTTTGCGAGGCCTTAGATGGAGAACTTGCCTGAGAGAATGAGAATCATCTAAATATAGATTTAGATTTAGAAATTCGTTCCAAGAACATCTCATTAACCTGAAAGAAGTTTTTGACCGCGTCCGGAATGCCAACTTAAAACTCAATCCCAATAATTTGTTTTCTATTTCAAAAGAAAGTGGAATTCTTATGAAAGGAAAGATAGATCCTGTCAGGAATTGGCCAGAACCATGCGACAAACATGAACTAAGGAGTTTTCTAGGATTATGTTCTTATTATCGAAGATTTGTAGAAGGATTCGCCAATATAGCTGCTCCGCTTCATCGATTAACGGAAGACAAATCAACATTCAATTGGACCCAAGAATGCGATTCCGCTTCAAGAAAATTGGAAGAAGCATTACGTACAAGCTGAGTGTTGTCCTATGCCGATCAGAAAGGCAGGTTAATTTTGAACACAGATGCAAGCAACACCAGTATTGGAGCTGTCCTTTCATAAAAGCAAAATTCACAAGAGCATGTCATAGCTACAGCGGAACCTTATTAAAGCCGGAACGAAATAATTGTGTCACCAGAAGAGAGTTCCTTGCCATAGTAAAAGCAGTCGACGATTTCCATGAGTATCTCTACGGACGTAAGTTTCTTATTCGAACAGATCACTCGGCTCTAAAATGGCTTTTAGAAATGAAAACACTCGAAGGATAGCTTGCTAGATGGATTGAGAAAATGCAGCAATACGATTTCCAAATTAAACATCGACCTGGAAACCTGCATAAAATGCTGACGCTCTGTCTAGACCGCCATGCAAAGAAAACTGCAAGCATTGTCAAAGAATCGACATGCATGAGAAAAACACTGGTCCTGCTGGGAGAAGAACGGGTCTGATCGTTGATGATAAATGGACTACCAAACAAATGAGAACAGATCATGGATGCGACATCTGTGTCATCAGTAAAGGCCCCAAATTAAGATCTCGGGTGCCTATAAAACAGTACGGTACAACGTCGGTCTCCCATTTGAAAGAATAGCGATAGATGTAGCCAGACCGTTCCCAGAGTCAGAGCGTGGTAACAAATACATCTTGGTTATCATAGATTACTTTAGTAATTGGCCAGAAGTTTTCGCTATTCTTAATCAACAAGCCATAACTATTACTCAGGTGCTAGTGGACGAAGTTTTTAGTCGTCATGGTGTGCCACTAGAGTTACATTCAGATCAAGGACGGAACTTCGAATCTGCCATCTTTAAGAAAATTTGTGAGATTATGGGAATTATTCGTAAGACAAGGACAGTACCTTCACATCCACAGTCTGATGGCATGGCAGAACGATTAATTAAGACCATAGAGGAACACCTGACAAAAGTGGTCGCAAAAAACCAGGGACATTGGAACAAACACATGCCATCGAGTTGAGCGCAATACCGAGTAAGATGAAAGTTGTATATCTAGACAGATTGACGAAATACCATGGGCGTGAAGTTGATCGGAACGATCAACCTTAAGAGGAAGGCAGTTTAGCGGTGCGCTTTCGCCATGGTGTACAGAATCTAACTTGAAACCTAGAAAATACTGCTTTATTCGGGCAAATAGATTATCGCGTTTATTCTGGATTTTACAAGAATGGATAACAGATATCTAAAGGCCGGTATTAGTTAGGTTTAAGATTGGCTGTGATACTTTTAAATAGTGATTATTGTTAAGAGTTGTAAAGAGTTAAGCTGTTTGAGTTGATTAAGTCAAGTAAGAGTGTGTAGTAACCGGGAATAAATTATTGTGTTAATTGGAGTTTGATTTTCGAATAAACGAACACGAGATTTCTGTCACGCACACCAGAGCGGTGACAATATTCTATTCAGATAGTTCATAAATTAATTTCAAATTAATTTTATTTGATTCAATCGGATCGAAATTTCACAACAAAAACGGAAAGTGGATAGATTCTTACCTTATTTAAATTATTTGCGATTGGCAAGCTCATTTGTTTCACGCCACTAATACCTAAATCGTTGGTGGATGTGCGTCTTCTTAAAAATTGGTCGAACGATTTTTTGGCCTTACTAAAAACGTTATTTGTGCCTCCGACGCCCAAATATTGATTTAAAAATTCCGACCTGTTTTCGGCAGTGTCGTGCATATGCCGACCCTGTTTCATTTCGCAATGCGCCCGTAGCAGCATCATTAAAAACTCGTTTTGTTCTCTTACTGAGTCCGTCTCTGCGCCTCTGAATTTTGTTAGAATTGTCATTTGTTCTTCCGAGTCTAATTGTTCTAATCTGGAACAAAACAAAAACTTTGTAGGGGGGACGTTATGAAAGTTATGCAGATAACCCTGACACTAACAACGCTCTACATAGTTTATAGTTCATATGCAGAGTTTGCAAAGAAAGCTTGACTCAAAGCATTACTATTAAAGTTACCTTCTCAAAATGGTAGCCTGCGTTTTCTTATCAGACATATGCTCGATTTCTGTACAAATCTTATGGAACCACACCATTGGACAGTGTTCGCATGACGTTATCATGGGTCGTGTTTTTGGTTCCGATGACAAAAACGCTTGGGTAATTGCTAAAAATAAATAATGATGTCTTAATATAGGTAATTCATAAGTCGTAAAAATGTTAATAAGCAATCGTCAGTAATTCATTTAAGTAGGTAATTGATAAATGTTTACCTTGTTTTGATAATGTTTATTTGAATTTTAAATTTTGTTGATTGGAGGTTTGTTTTTCCATTAACAGTTAAATTGTGTAATTAATGTTAATCCCTTATGTTGGTGAGCTAAAATTTTATTTATTGTCTTTGTCTAACGTGCCTTTTTGGCGTATTTATGCCGAATACTATTTTAAAACGCAACTAGAACGCATTTATTCAAACAAAACCCAAGAAAGAAGTGAACTTTGAAATTTTCAAAAACAGGTTTACCTATCAGTGACGTTAAAAGTTCAAATATTCCTATTCTTTTTAATAGTGTAATACATCGATCTAACGAAAAAACAGAACTTCGGACCATATCTGAAATCAAATAAATGCTTACCTGCTACTGCATCACTCGAAATTGAGCCGGATTCGCATTTAAAAATATATCCCATGAATGTTTGCATTCCATTAGCGTTTTCTCTGCATACAAAACCGAAATGTTCTGATCTTGTAAAACCCTATGAAAAATAAGAAATTTTAAAGTTCGTTCCAGATTCAAGATGAAAATCTAAACCAAACCACCAGAATGATAGTCAACTTTTGCTGATTAGTCATCGGAGTTCACTGTAGAACAATACATTAACATCAGCAGTCTAGATTTTTTGGTCGAGATTGTAAGAATTGTTTTTTTTCTTAACTTTCTTCTAAGCATATCAGAACTTATACTAGGCCTATTATGGCATTTATAATTTATTCTACCGGTAGGTAACTATTTGCAGTCAGTATTGGTTTCAGTTGAAAAGTCCTTCAGTGATGACCCGTAAAGTAAATCAGAATTCATCAACGACTCAACTCGAACCTTTCTATGGAAATATTTATGTAGTCTTATGAGTTTAACACGAGTTATATCACGTCTATTTGCTCATTTAAAATGATTATTCTGCTTTTCAGCTTATTATAAATAGGTATATGTATTTTCTTAGGATAGTTAGTCAGTTGAAATTTATTATACTTATAACTTTTATTGTAACGTGCTTTCGCTAGTAATAATTTCGAATTGTTAATAAAGTCAACTTTTTAAAAACCAACCCTTGGTTGCTGACTTGTTAACTGGCGCAGTCGACAGGACTTGTTTTTTCGGGACTGTTTATCGGTTCTTCGGTATTCGGACTAACCGGAAAAAATGGACTTATGTTAATTGTTTACTGTGAGGTGTCAGAGTGGCTTTCTAGATATCGAAACACCCAGTTCATCGTGAACCTGTTACCTCGAAGTAATCGGAGTTTCGAACCAAATTGTCCAAATCTCGCAAGGACCAAGAACCATTTGGAAGGACCATATCGCCAACAAACCTCTGGGACTTATAGCAATGAAATTCTTCCTATTCTGTAAGTGCAATTTAACTTATGTCTGACGTAGATGAAATAATTGAAAAATTGAATAATTTATCATTACCGCCTTCAACTGACTCATCTTCTGATTCGGAAAATTTAATTAGAATAATTAATCAAACATTTTCTGCCGAAAGCACATCTTTTGATAATCAAAACATTTGCATTGTTCCCAATTTAAATTCTAACAATATGGCTCATTTCAAGCCAGAGTACCTTAGTTGTGTACCACAATTTGACGGAAATCCGAATGATTTGAACAGATATTTATCAGTATGTCAAAGCCTCATTGATGCTTTCTATAAAGCTGCTCAACCAGATAGTTTTCAGAACATTTACTTGCTGAACTCGATAATCGGTAAATTAACCGGTAACGCAAAATTAGTTTTGGGAACCCAAAATGTAACAACTTGGGACCAACTTATAAAACTATTTTGAGCAGGCATTTTGCTGACCAGCGCGATGAAGTTTGTTTAAATCGCGATTTAGTTATGCTTAGGCAACAAAATGGTGCCAATATTACGATCGTATTTTACATATTTTAAATCTTTTATGTTCCTACGTGGATATTCATGAAACAAATGACGCTGCAAAATTGCTGAAACGTAATTTATACAATGATTTAGCTTTGAAAACATTCTTATCGAGCCTAAGGGAAGCATTAGGCACGACAATTCGTTGCATGCGTCCACGAGACCTTCCGCAAGCTCTACAATTTGTTACTGATGAGTATAACACTCAATATTTTCAGAATTTTTCTAAACCTCATACACAAAAAACCATACAACACAATAAAACAAACACACAATTTAGAAACACACATTTTAACCCAGGATTTAATAGCCAAACATCTAACAATTTATTTACGGCTAAGCCAACATTTCCATCTCAGCCTATTGCTGTGAAACCAAATTTTAACAAAATCCCACAAAGATTCCCTACCAATTCCCAAGTATTCAAAAATAAATCCAACACAAACTCAACAAATGGTATTTAAACCCAATCAAAATAGAACTTTCCCAGAACCTACTCCTATGTAACAACTTCGAGGCAAACCTTCAATGCCAATGCTCAACAACCTTCTAGAAATTATTTCCAGTCCAACCAACCAAGTAATTTCATAGCTAAAGAGCTATATAATACGAACGTAGTTGACGACGTTAACGAACCTCATGTTGACATTAACGAAAGTGACCCAGAATCCCTATACTACGATTCATCTAATTTTGACCAACTATATGATTCCGAGTCTAATTAATTATAACCCCCAATATGCTGAGTCCGCTGATGACAATAATGCAACTGGTTACTCTTACGATAACGCAAATTTTCTGAATCATGTCTCGGAAAATCCCGAAACTTAACACCCGAAATAATATCGTTGAATAATGCTTCTACAAGCGAGCTGCCTTACATTACATTCCCAGAACACAATTTAAAAATTTTAATAGATAGCGGTTCCACTAGATCAGTGGTTCCCAAACTTTTTTCTTTTGCGCCCCCTTTCTGAAATCGAGATGTGGTCGCGCCCCCCTTTCTTTCCCCATTATACAAAAACATTTTTTTTACTCACTGTAACTCTTCTGAACTGGACTTTGGAAGAGGAGGAATGGGCATGACAGTGGGCAGCTAGCGTACGCTGTAGCAATGATCGCATCAGTGCCGCCACTTCTGACGGAATGAAGTCGGTAGGGTAGATTCTTGGAGAAATAATCGTCGGTTTTCCTTTAAAAATCGGTAGCTAGGCGGTTTCGTCATATGACGTCATTCCACCACAATTTGCTTAGGTATATAAAACCAGTCAATAAATTTAGTCATAATTTTATTGTGCAATATGATTCCTATTTCAATTTTTCGCAAGCATATTCAAACACTGATTATGCTCAGATGTTATGTGTCAATTGTGTCACTCCCCTAACTCCCTCACCATCCAATTCCTGGCCTGCGAGTGTCATCCTCGAGTATCCCAGAATTTGATAGTGGGGGAGTTGGGGAGTATGACACAATTTAACACATAACATCTGAGCATCATCGAATATGCTTGGTTATTCTCGCGAAAAATTGCCTATTATGTGTAGTGACTTTCAATTTCGATAGCGTTTTCATAAGTGATCATCAGTGGCGTGACACACGGGACACGATGTCAGATGTCATTAGTTTTTAGATTTTCTTGTGGAATGAGAAACAATTTTATTTTTTATTTTAAATGAAATATATCTACATATTTGTTGCATTATCAATAAATTGCAGAAAAATCGTGAGAAAATGGTTCAAAATCGAAAGATCGGTACTCATTTGAAAATCGGTAGATCTACCGATAAATCGGTAGAGGTGGAAGCGCTGGATCGCATGGCAAAGCTGCTTTGGCTAAGGTATGCGCTGTTGCCGGATTGTAGATATCTTTTTCTAAATTTTAACTGATTTTTTATTTATGAGGCTTGAAATTTTCATTAATTTTTTAGAAGACTTACGCCCCCCTTAATGTTGCTTCACGCCCCCCCAGGGTGGCGCGCCCCCCAGTTTGGGAACCGCTGCACTAGATCATTTATAAATCCTGAACTAGCTCAAAAATTATACCCGGATAATATATTTGATGACCCATTTATTGTCTCCACCGTTTTTCAACAATCAGCACAGTGCTCAAATACCCGCACCTAAAATCTTTAATTTACCACATAATGAACCTCTAAAATTCTACCTATTTAAATTTCACATATTCGATGGTTTATTAGGGCTTGATAATCTTAAAAACTTGCAAGCCAATATTAACTTTGATACAGCATTTTTAATAACTCCACATGCAAGAATTAAGTTGCAGTTGTGCTGTTTCTCCTCGAGTTGAACAACTTGTGAAAATTAAAACTGATATACAAGACGGCGAGGTTATTATACCCTACCAGAGGATACATAACTGCGAAATTCCAAACTCGCAAAGTATCGCAAAAAATGGTTATGCTATTAATAGCATTTAAGGTAGAACCATTTAATCGAGAAAAATTGGAAAAAATAAATCTTAATAATTTCGAAGACTCACTTGATTACAAACCCAATTTTGACTGTTCTCAAATTCGCACCGATCATCTGCATGCAGAAGAAAAATCGAAAATAATCAAATTATGTGAAGAATACTCAGATATATTTTATCAAGAAAACATGCCACTGACATTTACAAGTGAAATAAGACATTCAATTAAAACCACTGATGAACAACCGGTATATAGTAAAACCTATAGATACCTAGTACAACGGTCGAAATTTGATCGTGGCGCCATCTAAGACAAAACTTCAACACCAAGCAGCAATTTTCGCTGCAATATGGTGACTGAGTGTCTAATCGGCCGACCAAAATTCAGTTCGTGGGAAAACCCAAAATAGGAAAACCTATTATCCACTGATGAGAAAATATTTGGTTTGATTTTCTATGCTTTTCCACCCATAGACGCGTTTCGACCTATCAGGTCTCATCAGTATGGCTAGGAAAAGCAAAGAAAACCAAACCAAGTTTCGTGCCTGTAGGCAATATATACATAGTACAACGGTCGAAATTTGATCGTGGCGCCATCTAAGACAAAACTTCAACACCAAGCAGCAATTTTCGCTGCAATATATCGGGTCTTCAAAAAAAAAAAACAATCAAAGATTGCTTTGGTTACGAAAACGTACGTCGCATTATTGTTTCTTTATTGGTCAGGATTTCTGACATGACATTTTAACATTAAATTTCATTGACTGACATTGTCAAAATTAATAGAAAATAGTGCTAAGACATACGTTTAAAAAACCATAGCAATCTTTGATTGGTTTTTTTTTTTGAAGACCCGATATATTTCGACCGTTGTACTATGTATATATTGCCTACAGGCACGAAACTTGGTTTGATTTTCTTTGCTTTTCCTAGCCATACTGATGAGACCTGATAGGTCGAAACGCGTCTATGGATGGAAAAGCATAGAAAATCAAACCAAATATTTTCTCAGCTATAGATACCCTTTTATACATAAAAAGGAAGTCGAAACACAGATGAAAAAAAATGTTAGACCAAAAAATCATTAGCCCAAGCAACTCTCCCTGGTCATCGCCAATTTGGGTGGTCCCAAAGAAAGCGGATGCTTCTGAAAAGCAGAAATGGAGGGTAGTAGTAGATTTTCGTGGCGTTAATGCAAAAACTATAACAGACAGATACCCCCTACCGAATATAACCGACTTATTAGACAAATTAGGAAAATGTCAATATTTTACTACATTGAACTTGGCCAGCGGATTTCATCAAATACAGATGAATAAGAACGACATACAGAAAACCGCATTCAATACGGAAAATGGCCATTACGAATTTCTACGTATGCCGTTTGGGCTGAAGAACGCCCCCGCCACGTTCCAAAGGACCATGGACAGTATATTACGAGGAATCCAGAACGAAAAATGTCTTGTATACTTCGACGACATTATTATATTTTCCACGTCACTACAAGAGCACTTAGAACGACTCAAATTGGTTTTCCAAAGACTACGTGAAACCAATTTCAAAATTCAATTGGATAAAAGTGAATTCCTCAGACGAGAAGTAGCATATTTAGGCCATACAGTGACACCAGAAGGAGTACGACCAAATCCAGACAAAATCAAAGCCATTAAAAATTACCCAATTCCAAAAACAACAAAACAAATCAAAGGCTTTCTCGGACTACTCGGATATTATAGACGTTTTATAGATAATTTTGCAAAAATCACAAAACCCCTCACGAAATGCTTGAAGAAAGGTGCAAAGTTTGAACAAACACAACCAAGAATTTATCGAATGTTTTGAAAATTGCAAAAAATTACTTGTAAATGAACCTATACTACAATACCGAAGACATTTAATCTAACATGTGATGCTAGTAACGTAGCCCTAGGTGCTGTGTTATCGCAAGGGCCCATTGGACAAGATTTGCCCATAGCCTACGCATTTCGCACCTTGAATGATTCAAAACAAAATTATTCCACTATTGAAAAGGAGTGCCTGTGTCTTATCTGGGCGACGAAGTACTTCCGACCCTACCTTTATGGACAAAAATTCAATATCATAACGGACCCTTGCAATGGCTTTTCAATTATAAAAACCCCACATCGAAAATGGTACGTAGGTGAATCAAACTACAAGAGTTTGATTACCAAATTATTTATAAAAAAGGTAAACTCAATACAAATACAGACGCCCTAAGCCGTATTGAATTACACACTAAAGAAACCGACAATATATCGAATCTACACCATTTCAACCTCAATTTCGGAAAAAGTAACTTTTATTTAGGAAAATGTAAAGTCATTATCGGAAAAAGTCAAATCAATTTCAGAAAAAGTAAAGTTAATTTTGGAAAAAGTAAATTCAAATTCGGAAAAACTACATACATTCAATTACAGAGAAAGTAATGTTATTTTTTAGAATAATTCGAATTGATAAAAAGTAAATTTAGCAGTGACTATAAACCTCCAGTCGAACCCGTCCGGATAGGCTCGATTCCAATCAGTGTACTTTAATTAGGTTCAACATATATTGGTTCTATGTATATTATTTTGTAGGTCTGATGATGCTCATATGAGCGAAACACATGTCACTATTGAGAGAATGAAATAATAAACAATCTGTAGACTTGGTAATTTTTTTCTTTCTTTTATTATTTAAAAATCGAGTCTCTTTGAGAAATATGGACAAATTTTTTGCTTTTCTAAGTAGATAAATGACTCAATCAATTCAAATTAGTCTATAAAAAATAACATTACTTTCTCCTTAATTGAATGCATTTTTTCCGAATTTGAATTCACTTTTTCCGAATTTGAATTTACTTTTTCCGAATTTGAATTTACTTTTTCCGAAATTAACTTTACTTTTTCTGAAATTGATTTGACTTTTTCCGAAAATGACTTTACATTTTCCTAAATAAAAGTTACTTTATCCGAAATTGAGGTTGAAATGGTGTAGTATCATATATTGAAGAATTCAATAAAGAATTAGAGGAAGAAGCTAGAATGGAAAATAATCCAACGACCAGCAAAGAGATTGAGAACCTAGACCAAATATAAACTATGGCGCAACCTGACCTCGAAGCAACAGCTGAAGACGATGACGAAACTATCCATACTAATGCTGAACAAGACCCTATTGTTGGAATTCCAATTAAAGAATCTGCTGTTAACTATGGAGCATTTGGAGCAAATCAAATAATCGTCACAAAGGTCATGCACTCACCTGCCAAAACAAAACGACTAATTTTATTTAAAAAGAAGAGAAGATTTTTAGTTCAAATATCAGAAAATGATTTTGAAAAAGATACAATTAATTTTATAAAAGAAAACGTTGTGCCAGGTAAATTATACTATGCTTATTTCGAGAACCCGGATACATATGAACCATTCTGCGAAGTGGTTAAGAAAAATTTTAAATGTCCCTCGATTAGAATTAAAAGATGTTTGAAAAAATTAATCGACATAGTAGACAAACAAAGTATACCGGAAATAATACAGAACTACCATGAGAGTAAGACGAACCATCGCGGAATCGAGGAAACCGAAATGCGTATTAAAGAAAAGTATTACTGGCCAAATCTTAAAGAGTCTATTCAGTCGTACATAAATGAATGCGAAATATGCCAACGAAGTAAATACGAACGACACCCACTAAACATGGAAATGAATATTACACTCACGGCAACCAAACCTTTTGAAACTATTCACCTCGACACATATAGACAAAGTTAAATTTCTCACAATCATTGACAGTTTTTCCAAGTACGCACAAGCTTACGCCCTAAATTCATTGTCAGCCACCGAAATTAGCGATAATTTAATATCGTTCTTTTCACATCACGGTGTTCCATCCAAAATCATTTTAGACAACGGAACTGAATTTAAAAATACAGTGGTCACAGAACTATTACAACTTCATAAAATAAAAATTCATTTTTGCTCGCGGGAGCACCCCCAGTCTAACGGTGTTATCGAGAGGCTACACTCCACTCTATCCGAACACGTAAGAATTCTAAATAATCCTGGCTTCCTGAAGACACCTATCAGCCAAAAAATGAAATATGCAATCCTAGCATATAATCACACCATTCATTCGGCGACACATTTGACCTAAAATTAGACCAACTTTTATTGACAGATTATATCACAGAATATAAAAATAAGTCTAAACTCTTATATTCAACCATCAATGAAAAACTTATAAATCAGAAAGAAAAAATTATAGGAAAGATTAATGAAACTTCCGATAAACCAACATTATTCCACCCAGAACAAAAAATATACATTAAAAAGCATACACGTCAAAAACTAGCCGATAAGTTTACACCTCAGACACAAGTTGTAACCGTTGACCCAGTACGTAAAACAATAGCAACGACTTCCCACGGAAAAGTACACATGGGTAACATTAAACGTGCCTTGAGAAATAAATATAGTTTTGACTTGACACCTAGTTTCAAGAATAAAATATTATATTACAATTACTCTTATTAACTATTTCAAATGCATTTTATATCATACGCTTGCTTATTAGCTTTATAACAATAAATATTATATTTCAGTTTTTTTGCCTGCGCGTTTGGAACTCAAGAACAAATAATCATCAGGAAATTGGATGACAATCCTGGCATAATTCCAGTCAAATTAGGGAACGCGAAAATCAAAGATTACACCTACACCCTGATACATTATTATAACTTGAATCCAATAATACGTGAAATAAATAAACTTCACGTAAAATCTAATAATATTACAAACATTCTTTATGGACATCAAGACTATTCTGAAGACATTAGCAATTACATAAATTTGTTGAAAATAACACAGAATAGAATTGATACAAAAATATCAGAGATTATTCCTCAACCACAAAGAATTAAAAGAGAATTAATTAATGGCTTAGGATCAATATTCAAATCTGTCACTGGAAACCTAGACGCATCTGACGGAGAACGTTACGAGCATATCATTAAGGAATTACAAAACAATCAAAATAGTTTACAAGAAAGTGTTCTGAAAGAAAACTCGCTTTCTCTAACCCTAATCAAAAAATTTAACCAAACTATTAAACAAATAAATCACAACGAAAAACTTCTAGAATCAAAAATTAACCAAATTGCACACATGGTACAGAAGGCAGCATATAGAAAAAATTCTCTCTATATCAAAGACATAATAAATCAAATAGTCAATATCTATGAGATAATTGACTCTATTTTACAAGATATAGAGAATTCCTTAACTTTTTCAAAATTGAAAATTATGCATCCAAGCATAATAAAAACTGAAGACCTTTATCATGAATTAAACAAACTTCAACAGCGTTTAAGTTCTGAACCCCTAGCGGTTACTTTGGAAAATACTTCACTTTTTGAAAAAATTATTGAACTGGAATCTTTTGTCATTAATAATACTTTCTCAGAGTCAGTTTAAGGTTGTCTTACCGCGAAATAAATTCTTGCTGAAAAATAAATTGCACTACACATACTATGGCCAAGAATGTCAAGAAGTCACTCCGAAGTTCCATATTTGTGGAAAAGAAGACATTCACGAAATCCAAGAAGACAACCCATGCGAAATTAAACTACTCCACTCTGACAAAAATACCTCCACCTGCGAACAAACCGAAGTTGAAGTCCCGCAAATTATCATCAATCGATTGGACGATTCCAATCAATGGATATTGGTTGTTCCTGTTAGAGAAGCTATCCAACTCAAGTGCTTTCAACAAAAACAAGTACAAAACAAACTGACTTGTTAACTCACGGATCCCGACCCAGCTTTGTAAACTTCGTAGGAGGGTCTATAGGAAACCCGGTTGCAAATTAGTAATCGGCTAAACTATATGTATATGTGAGTCATTATAATTATGAATTAATTTCCACTCAATCAATACAGTATATTTTTTTTTAAATCTGATTGGTTCTCTAACTGATAAGTTGTTATATAGGCAAGTAACTAAATACTTACTTGAACGCAGCTGGTGACATCTCTATGATGCTTATGAAGCAATATCACCTTCCTATCAGGACTAATTAATCTTAAATCGGTCCTATCGACTTGTAGAACCATTGTCCTATTATGATCGTCCATGTCCACTGAGGATTTCAGTTCTTTGCCTTGCGGTGAAGGTTCTCTTTGACTCGTTTCGTTGTTGTTAACTGAACTTGAAGAAAGATTTTCTTCTTTTTCCTTTTCTTCTTCTTTATTTCCATTTTCATCAGCGATTGAACCAACACTGGTAAGTTTTCTATCATCCAATTCATTTTCATGTTTGTTGACTACATTTACTTGTCTCTGAAGGATATTTGAATGGTAAGAGATTGATCTTTGTATTGGCGGTATTGGTGCACTCGTGCTTTCTGTGCTAGATTCACTAGCTAGAGATTCCTAATTCAAACAGACAAATGAAACATTTAGAATAAAAATAATATGGTTATTTTACCGTCGATCCTCGTCTAAATATATTATCTTCACTCTTCAACCTTCCTATACTCTCTAATCGGCGTAACTTGTTTTTTTCCAGTTCATGGATCCTAAATTTTTCCAGGGCATCGTCTATAAAAGTATCAGGAACTTTCTTTTGCCATACTTTGATTTTTCCTATATACAAAACCTGAAAGAAAAGAAATTCACATTGATGGATCACAAAAAAAAACTCTAACCTCAAAAAAGTTACTGGAACTTGGCGATATGTCCACACAGAGAGAGGTCAGCGTCGCGGCGCTACTTAAGGACCTTGTGGGAGCCACTTGACTTTGTTCTTTCATTTGTTTGTAGAGTTCCGTAACCTGAAACAAAGAGAACCTCTTCAGAATATGTTTCTATATTTAGGTACTTATGACCTCATAATATCTATTCACACACATTTGTTTTTAGTTTGAACAATATGTGTGTCTTTACATTGAACTTTCTCATTTTATCTATATATTCGTGCTAAAAGTGATTTTATTTTGTTCAAAGAGATGGAACACTCCGCCTTCGGCGTCGTGTCCCAAACTTCCCTTTTCACAAAATAAAATGTCACTTTTAGCACTTATATCATAAATAACTATTTTGTTCATATTGGATCCAATGTAGAAATATTTTTAGTTTATTATCGTGAATATTTCATTCATGTATAAATTTTCCCATATAAGAGAAGTAACAAATCGAAAATATACATTATACAAGTCAATTTAACATTTTGACGACACAACAATGGCTCTTCCCGCACATTTTGCTGTGCGGAAAGACTTTCTTCCCGCACCGGTGCGGGAAGAGATTTCTTCCCGCACTCAGTGCGAGAAGAGTTTGAAATAATCATTGTGACATGGAATTGTTTGTATTGTTGATACACCTATACCTTTACCTTTATTACCTTTACCTTTTCTTTATAAATACCTTTCAATGCATTTTTAATTCTACCTTCTGCACAATCGCATTTTATTTAAATTAAACTTCTCGTAACATCAGCTTTAGTATGCTTGTAGATAAAATACTACAACATACTAAATGCTTGTAGAAAAAATATATTTCCTAACTCGTGCGGGAAGAAATTTCCGGCACTCGGGCGCTTCGCACCCTCGTACCGGAAATGTATCTTCCCGCACTCGTTAGAAAAATATAGCTATTGTATTGTAAATTAGAGACGGGAATCAATCGTAACCATAGAAACACAAGTATTTGGTGTATTTGTCGAAAGCAAAAGCCATTGAAAATCAAAATGAATCGGTTTGGTGAAGTGAAAGATGAGGAAATCGACGAAAGTATAGTGGAAGTTGAACCAAACAAACACAGTGAAATCTAGAAACAGTATTTGGAGGCAGTTTATGTCATTTTGCGGCGAAAAAAAGTACACTTTTGATCAAGATACTCCAATATCCGAACTTGCATCTATCCTAAAAAGCTGGGCCTTTAATATGAGAAAAAGGAACGGAGCAGAATATAAAGAGCATTACAGTAAAAGTTCTCTGGAATGTTACCGCAAAATTGCTCATGGAATTTTAACGACTTTAACAAATTTGAATTTAATTTTATTCCATAATTTTTATAAAATTCGTGAGATATTCGGGGATAATACCACGAGAGCTTCAAAATTACCGATAATTTTTCACGATTGCGTGTTTTCTATTTGCAGAGAAAACACGCATGAGTGAAAAATTATCTGGTTCATTTTAAAGCTCGAGTGGTATTTAGAGGATTATTTCACGTATGAGAATGCAAAAAATATGGAAATAAATATGTATTAAACGATTTGAACATCTTAACAATCAATACAAATAAATGGTTGCTATCAGGAACCGTTCGTTTGTATCAAAAATTAGCATGACAACCATGTATACAATAACATGGGAGAATTATCGCGGTAATTCTCTCTAGTTAAACAAATGGAAAAGAGAATTTTCGCTGTAATTCTGAAAATAAATAAATAAATAAATAAATAAATAAAAATGCCTTTATTTCCAGATTTTTTTAATTAAATTTACATACATTCATATATGAGTGGCGATATCCAACCAAGTTGCTTCTATACAACCATCCCATCAACGGAATAGATAAATGTATCTTTTTACAAAAAAATAGTCTAACATAAAACAGTATACACTTCAAGGTTATTTCACATATTATGCATTTACGATCTCTTATTGCACATGTGCTTCTTCGACCCCCTCACAAAGGCTGAAACAGTTGCTAGATTTATTAGTTCCTCTGGTAAACTATTGTAAATTTTAGCCGCATTGTAACTAAAAGATTTTTTAAAAGTAGCGGTACGATGCTTAGGAACTACCAATCTATGGTTATGTCTTGTAAGCCTCCCATGAACTTCGCAAGATTTAGTTAGTTTGCTAGACAAGTATGATGGGAGTCCAAACAAGTTTATTTCAAATACTTGACGCAATAAGTGCAATTCGTGTCTTTCACCTAATTTCAACCAATCTGATATCTTATATTTCTCAGAGACATGGTCAAACCTCCTAAGATTGTATGCAAGTCGCAAACAGGAATTCTGCAGCTTTTGCAAGCTATTTTATTCTGTCTGCAATAATGCAGACCAATATACGGTGTCACAGTAATTTAGACGCGATAAAATTAAAGAGTCACACAACCTGAGTTTAATTGGAGTTGATAGAAAGTTTTTTGTAAATAAAGTAGCCTTAAAAGTCCATAAGAAGTTTTCAAGAGAAATGACACATGTGACCTAAATTTTAGATCATTATCAATGAACAAGCCCAAGTTTTTGACAGTATTGACAGGCATTGAACGGGTATCATTTAATTTAATATTGAAGTTGGGATCTTCTGCCATTTCTTTGGACTTCCTACCAAATAATATTAATTGTGTTTTTTTTTTCATTCAGGAGAAGGCTATGATACTTTGAGTAATTAGAGATAGATTGCAGGTAATCATTTATGTGTTGCACCGCTTGAGGTAATTCGCTTTGATCGAATGACTTGCGATTTGCGAAGCTGCGTATCGTCCGCAAATTGATCAGATTGGCAGTTTTTGCAAGTCTGATGTGTAAATAGAAAAAAAGATTGGCGCGAGGACACTTCCCTGTGGGACCCCTCTATCAACTACTCGATATTCTGAAAAAACACCATTCAATCCAACTCTTTGCACCCTCGAAGTTAGGAAACTATTAAACAGCCTTAGGGAAGATTCCCCAAAGCCAAAAAATTTAAATTTAAGCAGCAATAGATCCGTACTAATAGAATCAAATGCCTTGCTGAAGTCCAATAAGATTAAACAAGTTGATTTACCCATATCCTCAGCTCGGAATATATCATTTGTGACATTCAGCAAGGTAGTCGACGTACTATGGTGAGCTCTGAACCCCGATTGTGTTGGTGGTAGTATTCTTTCATTGCTTAAAAAATCAGACACTTGCTCAGCGATTACCTTTTCTAATATTTTTGACATAACTGGTAAAACACTAATAGGCCGGAAATCAGCAGCGCTAGTGGGATTGCTAATTTTAGGGATGGGTGTCACGTTTGACTGCTTCCAAACTTCTGGAAAAATACCAGTTTCCAAACATTTATTTAAGATAAAACACATGTGTTCTCCTAAAAAAGGTATTAAGACCCACATGCATTCGTTTTTATCGAATTCACAATACTAATAATTTTCTGTGAATCAATATTTTTAAAGTTAAATTTTTTAATAAATTCTTTAAAGTGTTTGTTTTCATAGTTGGTGGTTATAAAATTATCCGATAATTCAACGTTAAGCCTAGGTATACTATCCAAAAAGTAATTGTTAAAGTCCGTCGGACTAGAGATTTCCCTCAATTTATAATTCTGAGAGGAACTACAAATATTCAGCTGCCTTGACGAATGCCAGAAAGCCCCTGGATCAGTCCTGAAAGAGTGCTGCAAGTAAGCTCTTTTTTCTGCCTTCAGTGAATCATTCACCAAGTTTCTTAGTATCTTATACTGAGACCAGTTATCTGGAGTTTTGTATTTATTGAATTTTGATCTAGCTTTATCACGTAGTCTCATCATTAACTTGACGTTGTCAGTTAGCCATGGCATGTATGGTTTTGTAACTTTCTTAGTTCGAAATGGCGCGTGAAAATCAAATAAATCCAACATTTTATTGCTAAAAAATAGCACCATATCGTTGACATTTTCCAGACTATATATATGATGCCAATTAACTGTGTAAAGATCTGAAATAAGATTATGATAATTGAGTTTGGAAAAATCTCTATAAGTACGAAGAACAGGTTCCCGCTTACCCTTCTTCAACCTCAAATCACAGGCCACCATGTGATGATCTGATATCCCATCCATAGGGCGCACCTGAACCCCTGCAACTATATCGCGAGACGACGAAACTAGTATGTCTAATAATGTACTGGAAGAGTCTGTAACTCGAGTGGGCTCCATTATCAACTGAGATAATCCATATTTAGACAGCAAACTATTTAGCAATTTGAAGCTGTCGCCGTTAGAATTCAGAAAATCAATGTTGAAATCAGCCCCAAACAACAAGCAATATATTTATAATTTTCGACAAATTTGCACTCATGCGTTTTTAACTGAAAAAGGCACTTGTGCACTTTGTGCACTCGTGCTCTTTTTCAACTAAAAATGCATTCGGGCAAATTTCCCAAAAATTATCAATAATTTCCATTGCACTAGTCATATTACTATTGATAATTTTCATTCAAGCTTGTACAAATTCCACTCGTTCTTCGAACTTCGACTTCGATCAAATCTACATCCTTGGATTATCGAACTGGGCCATTGCGCATATATTGCTTTATGAGTAGCTAATTCATAATCAGCTACAACATATATTTTTTTAAATAGTTTTCAGATTCAAATTTGGCAAAATATCTAAAACATCAGAAATACTGCTTGTCAAACTCGGTTGAACTTCTCTTCTTTTGTAGTACATTATTGTTTCTTATGTAGGTAATGTCTTTTCTCATCAAAGAGTGAACAGTATCACTATTTTCACGTATTACCGAATGAATTATCTTGGATGGCCGCTCTGTGATGTTTTTTGTAGCCTTCCTCTTGCTCGCAACACTTACAATTTGTCTGTTCAACTTTTTCACATCCTTTTCGTGATTGTGCACTGTTTCTTTTCGGGCAGTGATGCCAACTCTAGGGATTTGTCCCCAGTTCTAGGGATAAATATTCTAGGGGGTTTCTGATATTTTTAATTTTTCTTATACCTTTTAATAAATTCTAAAAAAATAAATATATTAATATAGTATTATTACTATTACATATTCTTTAAAAAATCGGTCACATGTTGTGAAGCGCTCTTTGCCTTTTGTGTAACGCGATGTATG